TGTAAGGACTTTAGAACTGGGGTGATGTGCTCTACTTTCTTAGCCTTAGTGAGGACACGGGCAGCAGCGTTTTGGATCAGCTGCAGCTGTCTTATTCTCTTTTTAGGCAGACTTGTGAAAACACTTTTGCAGTAATCAATTTGACTAAAAATAAACATGGATTAATTTTTTTCCAGATCATGCTGAGACATTAGTCCTTTAATCCTGGAAATGTTCTTCAGGTGATAGAAAGCCAACCTTGTAATTGTCTTTAATTTAAAGCCCATTAGGGGAAATGTATCCATCCTTTACCTGCATTTTTTTTTAAACCAAAATATGATTAAGTTATGGTTTTGTGCAGATATTGATGAAAAAAACAAAACAAAACAATCTGATGAAACGTTACCAGCTATGACAAATTGTATTGAGTGTCCGGAGGATCAAAATGGTTACACTTTCCTTGTGTTAGAGGCTGCAGAGGATCCACTACCATCCATATGACTATAAATCACACAGAAAGACTCACATTAGTCTGCTTTAGATAAAAAAAAATGTATGTGTTGAAATGGCCTAGTAAAAGTCCAGACCTAGATCCCACGTGGAATCCGATGTAAGAATTAAAAAATAAATAAATGAATTTCAGTTGCTTTGCAAAGAAAGATTTTCCCACATTTTTAGCCTTTGGATGTCAAAACTTAGAGACAACTGCAGAGAAAATTGGTTGGACAAGATGTGGAGGGTGATACAGTGTCACCGCTTTTTTCCCAATTTTTTTTTTTAAAATGTCACATTTAATGCAACCAAATACACAGAGGATTGTGGTTGTGTTGGGATGAGATACTAAAAAGTTTGGGGGTGTGAAGACTATTAAGGCAAAGCTCCAAAACCAATTCTCAATTGTTTTTCACAGATCATCTTGATGTCATGGAAAACATCTGCTGCCTCAATAAACAACAAGCATCAATAATTCAGTTACTGATGAAGATAATGTGTAAAAATGAATTAGTGTGTATTTTTTGGGACAAAGCAGTTCCTCTTGGTGTTGATGTTGTGTAGCCCTAGTTTACAAAGCACCTAAACGTATTTAAAGAAAGTTTTAAATGTTCAGCCACTTAATAAAAATACTTAAAAGTTTGGGGGTGTGAATACTATTAAGGCATGGTTTCAAACAGGTAAATCAGAGTGTGAATAATATCTAGTGATCATGTTTACTTCAAAGCTTAGTCCTGTTTTTATTCCCTAATGTCCAGGTTAGCTCTTTCTTCAAACATGTTTAATCAAATTTCACATTTTATTCATTATTCCCAGTGATCGCGACAGAATATCAACACCACAGAGAAATAACTGCATCAGCTGCCAGCTCAGTAAATGTCAAAAGCTTACAGCGTTAAAATATTTCTGAAGGTCTGCTGCTTTTAGCAATGTAATGCTGTCAGTAAACAAGCCAGTGAAGCGTATCATCTGACATTTAAGGGAGCACAGGCTTTTTTCTGCAAGAGTTCTGCTATTACTGATGGCGATGGACAGCGATGAACTATGCCTCACTCTGTGATCACTGTACCTGTTTCATTTCCTGTTTTACTCTCAACAAACCGCAGAGAATGACCCCTTTGAAGTCCGGGTTGGACAGAGAAGCCAGCCTCTCATTCCCACAGCAGAAATTGAGGTTTAGTGTGCAGGTTACTGTTTTTAAGTGTGGCAGTAAATGTCTTGAATTAGAGTTTTTATTTTTTTTTTTGCCTGATTAGGTTGTTTGTTCAATAGTGTTTCTATCCTGTAATTTTTCAATAAAAATAAAATCTGTGAAACTTATACATTGGATAAATTCAAACCACACTCACCAATGTATTGGAATTAAAGTTAGAATACTCCAAATCGACATTAAAAATACATTTTGATGTAGCAAAAAAAGGTTTTGTCCATGTTACTGTGATGCAATAGCTTACACAGCCACGGGGAGGATTGCTGACTGGACAAACAGTCATTCATACCCTCTAGCAGCGTCTCCATCACTGATCCTCCAGATCTATCGTCCTGCAGGTTTTAGATGCAACCCTGCTGACATTCAGCTGGATCAAATGCTCGAGTACCTCTTTAGCTGTCATCAAGATTGACAAAGTTTTTCTAAGTAGCCATTCATATTGTTCTGCTGTGTTGAAGCAGGGATTTATCTATACCGTGCAGGACCGTATATCTGCAGAACAAGGGTTTGAGACCCCTGCATGGGTAAGCCACAAAAAACAGTTGCTAAAGAAGCTGATTGCTTACAGGGCTACAAAAAATGCAAGGTCACACAGATGATTTCACTTATGGTTAATAAGGTAATACTTAGAATAAATTATGCAATTATTTCTGCTTTAGGTTTATTGCAAACAGCAAAGCGTGACTCATCTTTCCAGTTGTGGTAAAAATATCTTTTTTTTTGTCCATCCTGACATTATGGACATAATTTATTATGGATATTATAGTTTCTTAATTGTTTTACACATATCATCTTGATGTCCTAAAAAAATCTGCTGCCTCAATAAACGACAAGCATCAATAATTTAGTTACTGTGAAGTTAATGTGTAAAAATGAATTAGTGTGTAATTATTGGGGCAAAGCAGTTTCTCTTGGTGTTGATGTTGTGTACGATGTATCCCTAGTTTACAAAGAGCACTCAAACATATTTAAAGAAAGTTTTAAATGTTTAGCCACTTAATAAAAACTACTGGTATGTTGCTCTGATGTCTGAAGACACAAATTTTTTTCTGATGCATCTAAAGGACATCAAAGGCCCTCCAACTGGACCACCTGCAATTTGAATATCCTGCAAACAAGTTGGCAGGTGTTGCAGTCAACCCCAAGGAGTGTGTTGTCTCTTAACTCCCCTTCTTCCTGACTGCACCTCAGCAACTCGTACTATGGCGCCCCTGCTGTTTGCAGATGGCATCACAGGAGGTGGACCTGCTGGTCTTGTCATGACTCAGAACAGAGGACCCAGTATTCAAGGCAAGACAGACAGTGGGATAAATCAAAAGTGTTTATTTAAAACTTGTGAATCCGAGTAGCAGTGTCTAGTACGTTTGAGGCTGGAAACTCTGGAGGAGAGAAACACAGGTTAGTGACCATGTAAATCTTACATTGGAAAATTATGAACATGAGTCACTAACCTGGTTTACCAGTTCAGTCAGAGAACCAGGTAGGATCCAGCCGGTGGGCTGCCAATAAAATGCGCGGGCGCCGCCCAGAGTGTCCCAGATGCTGCAGCCCGAGAGAACAAGTAGAATTCCAAAGCTAGTTCAGGCAAACTGATCAGGGCAGGAACAGTCAGGCTCAGAGGTCCAGGAGTCCAAAGACAGTTCAGACAAACCATTCAGACGGGAACAGGCAGGCTCAGTGGCTGAGGTAGAACAGGATCAGGTAATCAGAAACACTAATGAAGGCTAAAAACCCTCTTACCACTGGCTAGAGAGAGCAAGATAATCTCGCCTGATAACTGGATGCAAGCGCCTTAAATAGAGGCAGGAACAGGTGGATCAGATGAGCAGTGATTGGAAACTGGGCAGAGATAGACAGGTGAATGGAATGAGTAATTACGCCAATCATCAACGGATGCAAGCGCCTTAAATAGAGGCAGGAACAGGTGGATCAAATGAGCAGTGATTGGAAACTGGGCAGAGATAGACTGGTGAATGGAATGAGTAATTAAGCCAATCATCAACGGCAAGATCTTGACAGGTCTGCTGTCTCGTTTAGAAGCTAAAGCTGCTAAAATCAAGATTTAATGGTGGACTCCTGGAAAACACCCCCACCTACCCTCTCCTCAGCATCCTGACTGTGGACTGCTCCAGGTTCTTAGGAAGCAATCTCTCTTGTAACCTAAGCTGTTCCTCACACATAAAGAAAAGCCCAGCAAAGACTGTAACGTAGGAAGTTTGACCCTCTGCAGTTGCTGGTGGCTATCCACTACACCACCAATCTGTTACATTGTCATCCATCTCTGTTTCTGACAGTAATATCTATTTGGTGATGTTTACAGTCTACTGTTTGTGTGCCTCAAAATAATTACATACAGTACTCCGCATTTTATTCAAAGTAAAAATGTGGTTTATACTTTTTGGTTCAAGCTATAACAGAAATATGGCAATATAACCTGCAATACAAAAACAACAACAGGTAAATAAAATAGCTTTAGATCCCTTTTATAGTGCTTTTAAATTGTGCAGTTGTATTTTGTATTGTTGATTATGTTATAAGCGACAAGCCAGATTCCTTACTTGTGCAGAAACTTTGTGATATAGATATGATATGTAACTAATGATACTCTGACTGCGATGTTTCTGTATTTTTAGTAGAATTCATAAAAGGCCTGCCTGCTTTTTATAGAACATGTTTCTGGTTGTTTAAACTTCTGCTCCCTTTGTGAAATGGAGAGAACATTGTGTTTATGATAAAGGGCGAACCCGGCAGCAGGCCACACTGGAGATGTTGTAGGCAGATAGGAGTTTCCACAGAAGTGGCATTTAAGTGACCCAGATTGGAAGCATCACACAGAGGAAAACAGAAAGCCTGGCATCAGATTGGCGGTCCAGAACCTCCTATATGTTCAGATTTAAACTCAGATGTTTTAAAACGGGGCTAAAGTTGGTTTCCGTCTATTGTTCTGGTCAGCAAACCATGTGTTCTTTGATAAGCAGCACCTCACAACTTTCCTTTACAACATTTGGAAACTTTTTTTCTTTTCTTGTTTTCAACAGAGTAAGCCTTGGAGAAGGCTGAAGACCTACATCCGCTGGCCCTTCCATGCTTCCCAAAAGAAGAAACTAAGCTGGGTACAGCTAGCTGGGCATAAAGGTGCACTTACATTACAGACACAAGTTACCTGCATAGCTGGAAACTTCATTAAATTACAATGACAGCTTTATTTCCTTCAGCTGATGTATTTTGTTGTGTCCTTTTGTTATAGGCTCTAATTATCTGTGTTATAATTTGTTAAATAAGTGGCTAACCCTCTACATCGGCAGTTTCTTTTTCGCAATCCATTAAAGTAATGTTGCAGAGGTAATTATATGATGTTTATTTGACATAAAGATTTTTATCATGACATAAACAGAGACGAAAGCATCTTTTACGTACCTTTTCAAAGAAAATGATTCCTTGAGTTAAAGGCTTTTTGTGTCAGTAAGGTTTCGAGGGTTTCGCCTTTATTTACCTTGAAAAACTGCCAAGAACAGCAGGATCATTATCAAGGATTTCTCTTTGCTGTACCTCAGAACAAGACCAAACACTGAGGGAACTTTCATGATGAAAGAATTCCGAGGAAGCTTTCTGCTCACATACTATAGAAGCAATATTCTGTACTCCTCTGTCCTCCTGTTAACATTATGCCTTTTTACTAATGCCTGCAAAACCAAATTGAGCAGCTGAAAGTAAAAACACAGATTACCTGCTATGGATGACTGAAGGCAGGCTTGTAATTTTCCTACACATTCTGCCTATCTCTGCCTTGCAACATGTTTCTGGAATTCACATTCAGTGCTGTTAAAGAGTCAAGCAGTGATTGCACAATCTTGTCAGAATCCCCACATTCAGGTAGACCTACTGTATGACGGTCTGATATGGCCAGTGTGCATAAATGTGAAACTGTCTTCGTCTCATCTCAGGCAACTTCAAAGCTGCCGATGAGGGGACAATTCTGAAAAAGTTGTCCGAAAACGAGATGCAGTGTTTTGAGAAGCTGCGGCAAGACGTGCTGTTCCAGTTTGTACCGGAATACCTTGGCGTTGTGGAAAATGATGGAGAGGCCTTCTTGCAGATGACAGACTTGCTGGCTAACTTTGATCATCCCAACGTGATGGATTGTAAAATGGGAGTGAGGTGAGTGAGCACGGCCGGGTGCTATTTTTCACTCTTTCAACATTAACCAAAAAAATAAAATAAAATCTTTTCAATAATTCTTGTCATATATTTTCAGAATTGTTTTCAGTTTTTACCTATCAGTTAATAGCCTAATAGTTAATCAATTTTAGATTGCAAATTGACTAACAAGCAAAATGCATACAAACAGCAGTACGATTTTTGTCTGCCTCGGTTTGCCTCTTTAAGGGAACACCTGTTGTAACTGCAGGCTGTATGCTTGGCTTCCTGCCACAGCGGGTGGAGGGCCTCACAGTTAATGTGCACAACTCTACACATCCATTGGCGCATGAATGCTCTCATGAATTCATACATGCACACCTTTTTTGCATGCACGAACATGCAGATGCAAACAAAAATTTCGCTTGATTGAACAAGTGAATGTTCATGCACAAACCTGCAACAGCCATACGCTACACATTGTTGGTGCACAAATCTCACAGATGTACATTACCACATATATTGACTAATTGTTTTAAATCCACCTGTGTAATAGTTTGTCTGTATATGTGAGACTGTTCATATACGCAAACACTCAGTTTGCTCGCTAAGGGTGTCCCTGGAGACTCCCCTTTGTCAAAAATGCTCTCAACCACAAAGTTGCAAAACCACCAACTTGCACAAACACACTTGGGCTTTCACATAGCACAGTGCTGCTCACAGGAGTCTCCTCGTAGCTTCCCTCTCCAGCTCAGAGGAAGTGAAGCTACCAAACTGAAACTAAAATTCATGTCTGTTTGCACAGAATTGTGGGCATGAACATGAAGACTGTACGTCTTAAACTTATGCATGTTTGCAAGTTGCTGATTACTTGTTATACAGTATTTTTCTGTACTGGTATCTCATCTGTGCATAAATAAACACGGAGTGCAAAAACCTTTTGAATTTAGTCAATTAAATGTGTTAAGAATTATTCACTAGAAGTCAGGAAATACAGTTGTGTGAAAATCTATTTGACCTATCTGATTGTTTTTGCACCTAAGAGTTTCAAATCAAAGGCCAAATTTGAAACCCCTCAAATGTATGTTTTTGAGTTGTGTAAAATGATTAAAGTTGTGGATGACCCAAAAAAAAATATTGCTATTTTTAAATGTTGGTAAGAATAGTATGCATATTCTAACCAACTCCAACCAATCGAACCCTTTGTGCAAAAAAAATGTGAGTTCCTGGGAATAGACAGTGTGGGTGTTAAGAAGGTCCTAGGTTCAAAGTCTGGCTTTAGGTCTTTCTGCATGAGCTCTTTGTCCATATGTGGGTTCTCTCGGGGTACTCTGTCATGCCTAAATCTAGGTTTCTCCATGCATTGTGCTTTGTTCTCTGTGTCTCTGTAAGCTGTCCAAAATGACCATTATGGTTCATTCAGACAGAATGCAGTGTCACCAGTAAGTTGCTTATATGCATTTTGCCCTGCGGGGAGTTGCACAATGTTTACACCTGGACCACGTCATCCAACAGGTTGAGCTTCAGCTACATGAAGTTAAAACCCCAACAACGTGAAAAAACTCCCAGACCCTTTGCTTTGGACCTGCCGTTACCCCTGGCAACCCCATAGCATTTCCTGTTCAGGTCTTGCCGATGGTATTTTGCAATAAAAGCACAGGTAAAACTCAATCAAGGACTGCTGAGTCCACTTTGGTTTACCCAGAGCTGCGTCTGGATGGCGGTGCTGGGCAGTTACAAACTGAGCTCTGTGCTGGAGGTAAGGGAGGACAAAGAGCAGTGATTCTAGGGCTGAAAAAGTATTTTTTTAAAGCCACCTAAAAAGATCTTGAGACCATCCTTATTTCTACCTTTGTCAACATTATTTTCTTAGTGTTCCATTTTAAGTGTAAAAAAACAGTCCCTGATTGGTTGCCACGTTGCAATTTCACAGAAAAGTTCAGCTCTTTTAATCTTCAGCGATCACAGCTTCTCTCTGTCCATACGGTGCGGCTTTTTGACAACACCTCAGCTCTAATTAGTTACACAAGGTGAGGGCAGAGCAGTGAATGCCCTCACTGCGCGGGATTCACTGCTCGCCGCTTCCCACCCTTCCCTGCATTATTTTATAGGAATTCTAAGTGAATCTATTGCACATGCAAGACAGAGCGTCTGGTCTGAAAGCACCATTAAAAACAGGCCCCGGCACCTCTTTTATTTATTTATAAGTTTGACAGGAACAATGCACTTTAATGGACATTTCTCTAAATGTATCAGAATTAGCCTTAGCAGCTTTTTTTCATTGCTGTCCCTGGACAGATTTTACCAGTCATCTTAAACACAAGTTTTAAGCAAAAATACATAAGCTATGTGGAAAAGAATCTCCCCTTGTGGACAAATAAAAGTCTAAAGTCTAAAGTCATAACACTCAAATACATTATGTAAAAAAATTAATATAAAGATTAACTTACAAGTACACTATCTGCATGGCTTTATTTCACCAATAGTCTGTTGACGGCTTTTCTATGAAGTCGGAAAAATACCCCAAAACATGTAAAATCTTGCTGTTCTCTGTTATGATAACTATTCAATCTATTTAGTAAAAGACATAGAAGGCATCCATTAAGAGGTTTCATGTGAAAACAACAGATGATTTCAAATAACACCAATATTTGTCTTACATTAGTCTCACGAAAACATTTTAATGGCCCATAGACCCTCTTTTAAAGTTCTTATTGTATATGGCATATAGATATGAAACAAAAAATACTATACTAACAGTCAAACCTGTTATGTTGGTGGCCTCATAAACTGTTTTATTGGGGTTTTTGGCATAATACCTAAAACATATTGGTCTATACAACCAAACAATAGGTTGGATTGTACCGATCTGGTTGGTAGTTATGTGTCCAACCAATCTTTTGGTAAAAACAACCAATCTAATTTGCTAGTGTTTTTAACCAATCTATATATAGGTGAAGGGGACAATCAAATTTGGTGACTTTTATCAAAATATTGGTCAATTAGTGGAATAACATTTAAAGCCAGGATGAGGACTTATACCACCAACCCTTTGGTTTCGGGGCAAACTCCTGCTTCCAACACCCCTATTTTCACTAATGCTTTGTGGAATTTATTAATAGTTAATACTAATGTTACAACTAAGTTTAAAGCCAAGATTTGCATTTTGTACATTAACAGATCACTGTTATTGTTCTATAGCTCCATGACTTTTACAAACTACACTTGACTACAATCAGAGAAGTAAACCACCAGTTACCATTTTTAATAATTGTTTGGTTAACCAATTACATTGGTTGATCTGAACCCATGGCTCTGTCATTTATTATATCTTTTATTATTTTTCACTAAAGTTGTCTTTATTTGATCTAAAAAAATATGTTTGATGATCTGAAACAAAAAAAGGCTAAAACAGAAAAGAAATAAATGTACATTTTCCTTTTGTTTTAAAGGACTTACCTAGAGGAGGAGCTTGTCCGAGCGAGGGAGCGACCCAAGCCTCGTGAGGACCTGTACAAGAAGATGGTGGAGGTGGATAATGAAGGCCCAACTCCGCAAGAGCATTTCCAGCGGGGCGTCACCAAACCTCGCTACATGCAGTGGAGGGAGAGCATGAGCTCCACCAACACACTGGGCTTCAGGATAGAGGGCATCAAGGTGACATGTCATTCATATACTTAGTGCAATGAGAAATAACTAGATTGAAGCATCACTTCAAGGTAATTAAAGGGTGGTACCTTGAGTACCACCCTTTGTACAACAATGTAGACCAAAGGCTTGGTTGCATTGTACAACATTGTTCCTCTGTTACCTGGAGACGTTACTCAGGTCTTTATCAAAGTCTTTTGTTGGATGCTTAACCCAAGAGTTATAAGTGCACTTTTTACAAAGTGATCATTAAACACCTTGCCTGCAGAGTAAATAGAAAGTAATATACTTTTTGCAAATATATCTGGGCTGGGCTTTTTGATAAGTGCCTCTAGCCACTAAAAACAGGCATGTTTGGTGTTCCTCTCTTTAGACACCGGGAGCTTCTCTTTTATGCATAATGTAGGTGAGTTTTATTGCAGAAGGAGAAGTTACCTGTATCAGAGGTCTGATGTAATTTTCATTAAAACATGTCTAATGAAACAAGGTGGATAATAGGAATGCACACCTAAAATACTTATTAGTGTCTCTATTTTATTAGCTCAATAATGAGACATGATGAATCATTACATAAAGACATACTTCTTTTAAATTTCATCCTGGAAATACATTAATATGTTTGTTGGAAGAAACAATAACTACATTTACAACAATTTGATGTACAGCAACACTTGCTTGCAAATGTGCCCCTGATACTGTAACTGTAGATCACAGCCCTCTTTAGGTGACGTCTGTTAAACTGAATTCTGGACTTTGCTCTCCATTGCATCATTTTCTTCAGGTGGAGACCTTCCTGCATGTATTTTGATGTTTGCACAGGCTAATGCTCTTAAAAAGAAAGTGTTTTAAGGGTTTATTGGGTCTTAGGAAGACCTCAAATCTCTCTGGTTTGAATCCTACATGCTACATTTCGGCAATTCCTCAGCAGGACCCTTTCCTCTGGACATTGGCAACCTTCTGCCTGAACTAAATGCAGAAGAGAATTTCAATTGGAATATGCAAAGATGCAATAACTAATAAAGATTACTGTTACTAATATTTGTTCCTTTACTCTGACTTCAGTGTTTTTGGTCAAAGTTGACAGTTTTTGGGGAACTACTTAAATTTTTTCCTTAAACTTTACAAAAATGGTTGTTTTATCAGCAAACAAAACAAATGGCATCATTATGCAGCCAATATTTTTTAGTATTCCTTTAGGCTACAAATCTACTGAATAATCCAGATAGTTAGACAATACAGTCGATGGTCACTTAAACTTCTTGGAACTCCCTTAGATTCACTGTTAGTCTCTTTGCCACCTCCCTGAGCATTTCCAGTCTCATGCAGTTTAAGAAAAACACCTAATATGTTTAGGAATATAGATTTCTTAAAGGCAACTTGGAGATTTTCAATCTAAGCATCAGAGAAGGAGAAGAAAATCGTTAAACTGTGGCTTCAGTTCACATAGTATTACCTACGTAGGTTGTTCAACAGCAAATTGGAAAAATATTGCCTGGTGTTATGAGTCTCAGCAATTTTAGCTGCAGCATTCACATGGTTTGGTCAGAATTAATGGTTAATGGTTTTAACAACATGAAACGAGTGAGCCTTGTTGAATCGGTGGCTTAGGTTGTTAATGTTGGTGACATTTTTCATGCCTAATACCAGTTAAGGATCCTTTAAATACCACAGCCTCCCTGGGCATTGTTGCTGGCCATACAGTATCTTTTCCTTTATGACCACAATGTATCAGTCTTTCTGTTGGTACTCCAAGCAGGATACACATATTGAAAAATGTTGTCAGTGTGGTTAATTGGAAATGATCATGTTTTGCTGTATTCCAATTAGGGGTGTGCATTGGCACTGCCCTCACGATTCGATTCGATTACGATTCACCAGGTAACGATTCGATTCAATTCGATTCTACGATGCATTGCGATGCATCAAAATCCCATTGACTTCGTAAAATCCGAAATGTGCCCAGATATCCGCTTTCCAAGCTTTTGGTGCGTTTTTAATTAGGCCTACCCGTCTATCGCCTCAGCCATCTTGATTGTTCACAACTTCACAACTTGTCCATTTGAGGCCAGAAAATAAACAG